ATAATAAGAACGTTTCCCCGAGTTAATCGAGGGTTCGGGGTCCGCCAGGTTATCCTTGCGGTGTGCACAATGCATCGAACGAGTTCGCGCATCCGTCGTAAGTGGATCTACCTAATGGTTCTTACGTGACAACAACATTTAGATGGCTGCCGTGCGATAAGTTGGAGAAAACTGGAGCTTCGAGCGAAGCATGTAAAAGGAAAGGATCGTCGAGGATCGAGACTTTCGCGGATAATCTTTAACAACGAAATATGTTGCGCGAAATGTATAATTCTGATCGCATAATTTTATCGCTCTCGATTGTAAAGAAAGAGAAATCTTATGGATTTAGTCAATAATTATTTGTTTTATAACCTGTATCGGTACAGGTGGTGATATATAATTATGCGAAAATTTTGTAAAAAAAAAAAAAAAATGAAGAAGATTTGAAAAGCGTGTACCGATTAGCTGGAAACGTTAATTGATTGCCGAGAGGAGGGATCAACAGGTTGCCCCACACGAAAATTAGAAAGGCAATCTGCAATATCGTTCCTTTATTCTCATTTCACGCAACGTGACATTTCGCCGCGTAAGCCAATTGTATCTGCCTGCCCCCCTATGATTTCTCAATTATGACTTGTGCAACTCGAAATGCGATCCGCAATCTTGAATTTAAATTTGTCCCTCGTTCGAGATAATTCAAGATAACAAGAAGATTTCTAAAGAAAAATCGCGTTGGTAAATTGGCGAAACAAGTCGATCGACAATTTTTTATTCGTAACAGCACAGTTGTCTCGCGGCAAGCGATTATTAACGAATATTTCTTATTCGATTTTCTCTATAAAAAGATACCAATATTCATCTTTTCGTTCCAATCTTCTCGCCCGACCGATTCCATTTCGGTATCACGTCGACGATGCCTCGTTTTTCTCCACACTGCAGACCGCGTGCACTTACTTTCTTCGGCCTCGATCCCCCTTGCGGGAGCCTCGCTTACGTATCGCTTTCGCAATCGTTATTAGACGTTGTTGCGCAAGCGAGAGCGCGGTCTGTCCTATATGAAATATCGCCCGCGTTCAATCTCGGCCGCGGATACGTTGTAATTAGCGTGCAAGACAGCGCGCGCTGGGAGCAGAGCCTCTAACGTGGCGTGAACGCGCGATATCGCGGCACTCGCAGGACACCGGGCGTCTGCAAAAATTCAGATGCCATTTCAGATAGGTGGCAGGAGATTCGCCACAGTGTTGCACGCCGGGAGACGATAGTTGGCGCAACTTCAACGTTTGAGCCAAGCTCACGACATACCGCCATATCTTCCCCTTCCTCCCTTCCCCGATTATACTCATTCGCGGCTTGCTTTTATTGCATTAACGTATTAACGCTCCTCCTATATAATAAGTCATGCGGCTTATCGGTACCCGCGATAGAAGCGAAGAAAAAAAAAGGGCGATTCTCCTATTTGGAGATTGGACGTGACCGATAAATCTTTCCCAATGTGAGCGTGTGTTGCGGGAGAGAAGGAGAGGGGAGAAAAGAGAGGATAATTGCACGATGAAACGACGAGGGACGAGGACGATCTGCTGAACGTTCGCTGTGCAAGGGAAGACGCGTTGACAGATGGCCGAACGAAACGAATTCTCTGTTGCTTGCTTATCTACGGTCGGTACGATCGACTGTATTAACAAATTAATTTTTTGTTAAATTAAGGATGTAACGAGGATCGGGTGAAGCGTAACGCTGAGGTAGGTTGAAATTTGTGTGTCCAAATTTGGGTTTTCCGTCGGTAAAAACGAAAATGAAGTGAATTTGTATATATTTCTGGGAGGAAGGAATTAATTTCGCTTATTTATGATTCTCTTTCTTCAGATTCTTTCGTTAGATTCTGATTCGAATCTAAATTGCACTTGTTTTTTCCTTCATTCGTTCTCCGATGTTTTCATATCGTGTTCATTAATTTGCCGAAACAATACCAGTTTATCGGTAGAGAAAATCTATTATATGGAATACTTGTATCGTCCAAACGTCTTATTTATAGACTGATCATTCTCTTTTTTTCAATCCAAATTAATCTATTTCAAACAAATGATTGTTTGAAAAAATCCCTGGTGGATTTTTCATCGTCAATTTAATGATCGTTTCTCGTTAAAACGATATTCTTTTGTACGAGCTGATAAATTATTATTATTTGAGCATAAACGATGGGGATTTTAGAAGAGAAATATTAAGTCAACCAAGGCTTCTCTCTTCCCTTCCCCTATACATTTTTCAATAACATATGTTTTCAAAGAGGAATCTTCATCGAGTTTGCACACGTTATTCCTCGAAGCCAGAAACGAAACGGAATGCACGCCGCATTCCATGGAAAAACGTCACTGTTTCCAGTGCTAAAAGTTCGTAGGTTATCTTTCATCGTTGACCCGACACGTCGACACAACGTGTTCTTCATCGAGCGCCGCCAACTCAATTAACGCGATCACGACAACGATAAATCGTTTTATATTTCTTTCCTGCGTCCCTTCCTTCCTCTTTTCCTCGGCGATTCGAGCAAAAGGGAGTTAAAAGAGGGCGACACGTATAACCAGAAATATAAGCGGAACAAAAGAAGTTAGAAGAAGAAAAAAAAAAAAAAAATAATCCCTTTTGAACACGAGAGTTCTAGCTGCTGGCTAGAATCCATTAGAAAGCAAGTTAAAGAGAGTTTCTCCTATTACGAAATCTATTCACATTCGTTTCATAATTTACGCGCTGCTTTATTTTCTTTGTAACGGTTTCGAACAATCCGATTAAGTAAGCGCGACAATCTTTCGAACAAAGAGGCGCACGCTTAAATATAGCCCAGCGGCCGGGCTAAGTTTATCTTTATTGAGGTTTATATACCGGTCCATGTCGACCTCGTTGCTGTACAAAGTAAGCTTGCTTGTTACGCGATCTCCCGACCATAATTTTTCACAATTGATAATTATCGCACTGCGGGGGAGAGAGGAAGGAATTTATTTAACTCCTGCCGTATTCTGATATTTTTTGATCATATTGTTTTTTACTTCTTCTCAGCATCTATTTGCAAAAAAAAAAAAAGAATCGAGAGCAATTCTCGAAAATTGATTCTCTCAAATCCTCTCCTTGGAGGGGGGGCGATGAAAGAGTTTGTCGCAAACAAAACAAAATTGTCTCAAAGCGTTTTGTCAAAGTGCATTTCTGCCATCGGGAGAAAAGGCAGGCCACGTTTCATCTGTGTTTAACCATACTTTGGCTCCACATACACACACACCGATAAGTAGCTAAGCGTAAAAAAAGAATACAAACGATCGAAAACACAGCGTTTGAACGATGATGAACGAAACGGTGTAAACGTTTCACGTTATGGGATTTTCTCCATGTTTAAAAAAAAAAACAAGAAGATTGGAAATCGCGGTGTTGACAAGACGTGTCCATCGGTAAATCATTGGCGCGCACAGGTTGGTCACGAGCGATGACACGTTTCGTAGCCCCCCTCCCCCCCGTATCAGGACGAGTCTATTAAATCTGCAACAGGGACGGAATGTCTGCCACGGTCATTACCATTCCGCCAAGTCGTAAGTTATCTTCGCTGACAGTGGGCGCGCATAGAAATGTCTTCGGCCGTGATACCTTCTGACTTCTCCTCCTCCTCCTCCTCCTTCTTCCTCTTCTTCCCCCCCCCCCGCTTCTCGTTCCCTCTTTTCTCCCCGGTGGCTGTCTTTGGTCGCGCTGTCAGCCGCCGGCATCCATATCAGTCTTTACGCTCCAGATAGTCGAATCTTTTCACTTATAAATCTCCCGATAAAACCCTTCGGGCTTTAAGGAATTTTCGATCGCACGCATCGCGTTCCATTTTCATCCCGTACAGAGATATTCTATCGCGACTCCATCTCTCCCCCCCCCTCCTCCTCCAAACGTGTATACATAACGAAAATCCTTCGTCGTTCAACTCGGATTTTGCCAAGCCTCGAAAGAGAGAGAGAGAGAGAGGAAATTTGCATCGCATTCCAAGGCAAAACCCTTGCCAGCAATAGAGTCGTGCAGAGATCTTTGAGGAGATCGCACCTCGGCGAACACACGAATGTACGATAAAAGGGAAGAAAAGAAATGGAAAGGAAGGAAGGAAGGAAGGAAGGAGGCCCTCGTTTCGTCTCGTCTCCACTCCTCTCCGCAAAGGTTTCGTTGTGCTCGCCGTCGAGCCGAACGGTAAATCAAGATGGTTGCTTTACGTAATGGAGTTGCACATCTTAATTAGGAAAAATCTGAGGGGGCACATCCGTTTCCAGCTCGCCGATCCTAGGCGGAGTTAAGGCGCCCATTGCGTTCTCATTAACCGTCTCGCTTTTGAATGCATCCTATATATATATATATACGCGTTACACTATTTATCTTTCGAGAGGAGTTGTGCTCGTAATAATAAGAATAATAATAATACAATCGCATCGAGCTTGAGAAATTTTGTTCAAATACAAGCGAAGTTGGTCGATCGGATTGGCCAGGCCGTCGATAAATTAATTCTCTTCATAAACCCAAGTTTTTCTTCTTATCTCTTCGAATTACCTTCTATCGATACTCTCTCTCTCTCTCTCTCTCTCTCTGTGTGTTAGAAGGAAAAAAAAAACTAATCGATTCGTTTTTGAAAATATATTTTAAAAATATATTCGCGTGCGCGAGGATCAGAGTTTCGTTTAAATTAATGTTAACAAGTTCGTTGTGGTCGGTGTCGGTGATACGTTCGCGTACGTTCGTGGTCAGAATGGATATATCGCGATCGTTCGTTGTCGAAATTTTTCCGAATTCTCTGCAGGTTACTCGAGAATTTTGAACGCTTGTTTCCAGCCCCCCTTGGTATGCCAAGATGAATGTTAATCTAAATTTACGTTAAATATCCGATCACACGTGTCAATCAATTAATTGCGAAACAACATGACAACGGAGACAGGTGGCGAGGCCTCGTGCCTCGAGCGTCTCCATCAAGAAGTACGAACGCGTCATTTTTTCCCCCATCCGTCCATAACCTCCACGTGCATAACCCCACTCACTCCACACTGTCCGCGTAGGCTTTTAATTGTCTGGATACATTCCCGAACAAAATCGTCGAATTGAACAGCTTCGTGAACGAGTACATGCCGGAATCTGTGAAGAGCAACAAATACAACAACGAAACAATCCCCATCGAGGGTAAAGTGAAGTGTCAATCGGCCGCCTCGAAAAATTGCGATCTAAATAGTATCGCATCGGACTATGGCGGTAATTATTAATATTAAAATTCACGTTTTGTGATTGATCCATTCACGGACGGACCTCCCTTCACTATCACTGGTTCCTGTATAGTTTCGAGTTACTATTCTCTGTCGATGTGTGATCGCAGTCGATCCCGACACGGTATTTGCAAAAGGAATACTATCGATCCCGAGGCATAACTGGTTGCAACGCGCGTCGAAGGCCGGGCCCGCTCGGACAGCTGTTGGCATTTTTGGTCAGCACATTGGCCACGTGCACGAAAAAGATCGTCATTGCCCCCTCGCAGTACATCGTGGACAACATAATCCCGACGTTTTTCCAAAGGTGGGTGGCAAAAGAAACGGAACGGAATAGGAGGATAAAGAGAAAAGAGGGCGAAAGATAATTCGTGTCTGTTTTTTTTGAAGGCGAGAATTGAAGAACGCGCAATGCGGACCTTCCTCGAACTGGAGCAGCTCCCTTTCCACTTACGTGACCACGTTGAAGAAAGACACGACGGTGATCGGGAAGCTGATCGATATTATGAGGCCTGCCGTGGTGAAACTCATCACCGACACGACCATCGTAATCATTCTCCAATTCCTCGAATCGTATATTAACCTCGGACCTGTAAGAAACGACGCCTGAATTTCAGTTGAAACGATGGCTCCAAGCGATCGCTTTGGCCACCCCCTCGCCCCCCATCGAGCTCACCAATGCGACTCGCAACACCGAGACCATCGATTGTTGGGCATACGAGCTGTTCTTTCATCTCAAGTACCTTCAAGTGAATCGCGCGCGGCGGACCACCGACAAAGTAATCCTTAAATCCTTCAAACAGGAGGCAAAACAGTTGTTCAATTTCCCTTTCTGTTCAATCGTCTTATTTCACGATCTTATCACTCCCCGTTTCGTTAGGTGATAGCCGAGGCCGAGTCGAAATCGAACGACGTGATCCACGCCAACCTGTGGCACCGTTTGGTACAGCTTCGCGACAATTACATCATTCTGTACGAAACCTTGCAGAACTACGATAAAATTCGCGGCATCGAGTTGGAGAAACAGAAAGAGTAATAAGCGCGAAAATTTACCCACTAAAAGTAACTGTCGAGAGAATATATATATATATATACGTATATATATCTATATATATATATATATATACACACACGCTACAGTCGGTTCAATGCAATTCCGTTAAATTCCATCGAATAAAAGTAACGTAGAAGTAGTTCTAATTCTCTCGCAGTTTTCCAAGGCACGTTAACGCAAGCCGATAGTTTCTAGCCGAGTGGAAGGGCGGCCGCCTCTCGACCGTTTGTTTCGACACGATTGAACCGACATGGCACGCTATTGTATGTCTAACATTTAAACTTTGTGCCGAGGAGGGGGACAGAACAGGCGGACAGGCGTTCGGGAATTTTTATTTCAGCGAGATTGCACCACCCGACCCGCCAATCGAGACATTTTTACCAATCGAGCAAATAGCGCGACCTACTTTATCGGATGAGAACGGTAAAAACCGTTGGTTTTCTTTTTTTTACCCCGGCCGAACAGAGGCAGTTGGTGAGGCATTGATATACGTTTGCGTTGTTCGCGGGGTTAACAGTTTTCGGTAAGAGTTTCGTAGAGTATTTTTAACAAAAATAGAGAATATTTAAGAATAGAGAAATTTTTCGTTCGACGAAACGAACGTTGGAACGTTCGAAGGTTCGAGACGATTTTACGTGAGAAAGCTGAAGCATCGAGGAATTAATCGACGTAAGGAAATATACGTTTAGTTTCGTTAGATCCGTGACTCGAGCGTAAGTTAATCGATCAGTCACGTGTAAATGGAAGATTAAAATTCATCTCGATTGTTTAACACATTCGAGATCGTAGGAAAAATCGAACCGTGATTGATTTTCGATAAAAATAAGAAACATTCGGCAAAATGGCGAATATTATAAAATATTTGTACTATTAGAAAAAACTAATATTTACTTTGTAACTCGTAAAACCTTTCTTTTCAATTCCATCTTTAATGATGCCTCTATAACAACTTCTTGGAATAACGTGCTTATGCACTCTCTCAGATAGTTCTTAATAGTACTTAGAAACTACTTGTCTGGGAATAACTTTATAACACGCGACGACACTTTTGAATCTTCTGAAAACAGAAAGGTTTGGAGGACGTCATCGTGAGATCCAATAATCCAACATCTTCGTGAAAAAAACTTTCCACTTCGCCAGTCTCTCGAATGTGTTAATCATCGTTCTTTTCGTGTGCTTTTTATTGTAATACATTTGTCACTCGAAAACGAGATACAGGTGACAAAACGTAGCTAGAAGGCGCAATGGATTCGCAAGTATCCGGTCGATTCTTCTATTCCCACGACAGAGTTACGGGGACAAATCTTTCCCCTGAGCGTCGAGGGAGTGTCATCACGATAATAGAATAGAACCATGGGAAAAAAAGGGGGGAGGGGGAGGGTGATCGAAAAAGAGGTTGCATCGCTCCAGACGCAAAACTGTGGAATGGAAATCGGAATCTAGAAATCGTTGTACGATTCTTTGATAGAAGAGATGAGAATGGAGAAAATCTGTCATCTTCGAAACGATCCATTCTTAAATGAATTTTAAATCAAACGGCCGAGTCCAAGATACAAATCGATAAATGTCACTGGCAAGATCGATCGCAACGAGCGTGATCGAGCCAACTCGATGGAGCTCACGATCGACTCGATGAGATTAACACGAGTTCGCAAAGCGATTCCCGCGATATTGACTATGATGAATACAACTGTCAATCGTCCAGACGCTCGTGAAACAACTCTCGTAGATGTTATTGCGCTCTTAATATCGAGATATAGGCGGTATAATAACCCTTTGCACTCGCCGATCGATTTTAATACAGAAATGTGGAATAAAGAATTCAGTGACGAGAATTAACAGATTGTTGTATTGTATTGTTATTTAGATAAAAAAAAAAAAACAAGAAGAAACGACACCTATAATATTCTTCCAATCATAGAATTAATTCCAAATTGGCGCTAGCCAAATTCCCTAGCTTCGCACCATGAAAATAGGAATGGAATTGGTACCAACTTGTAAGAAGAGTTTGTCCCTTCGCCGAGTTTTTCTCTTCACCGATTATTACGAAGGGGGAGGAGAGATATTTAAGTACGCTTCTTCCATTTAACCCGTTGGAGATATCCGTTGGCACATCTAGGCAAAGGTAAAAGCGTTGAACGAGTACCGACCCCAACTAACCTGCGATCTTGGTTGATAGTTGATCGCTGCTTTAAACCCAGCTCCATCCATAACAGCCTCGAATGAAATCCCTCGTGCGGTGGCTCCATCGTGCGAACGAACGGTAGTCACGACTTTGATTACGTACCGTGTAAAACACCGAGCGCTGGAGGAGAAATAATCAAATAGAAAAAGAGAAGAGAGAGAGAGAGAGAGAGGTGGGCGCGAGATAAAACCGAATTTATATTCCGACGGATAAGAAGGATATAATTAAATCCGTTTCGATCCCCCTCGCCGTTATCGTGCAAATAAACGGGTTCGAGAAAAATCCGAGAAGAAATCCGTAACAGCGTATTCAACAGCTCGAAACAATTCGAACGAGATGCGCGCGCACAGCCGTTTATACGCGTTGTTGAGTTGAAGAGAAGAGGCAGGAGATCAGATGGTCGTAAGATCGTAGCTGGAGAGACCGTTAGAGTTAACGACGAGTTCGCTTCCCTTCTCCTTCTCCGCCATCTTTCCGCCTCGCAATTTCTACGAGTGGATATATCCGCGATACAGCGGTAGCTCGCGGAGGCGGTTAACGATGAGATGAACGATCCGTTCGCAAGAACGAGGTTATGTTTTATAATCGCAACCCAAGTGGACGCAAGATGGCTTTTACGGTTGAATCAAATTAAATTCCATTCGATTCTACGTTCACTGTTAGCGTAACGTGTTGTTAGCTGTCACGTGTTGTTGGTATTGTTCGAGTGAAATACTTTCGATTGAATTAATACGTTCTCTTTATTTACAGATGCTGAGCACGAATTTTATGATCAAGTATGTTGGAAGGCAATATTTTTTTTAAAGCTTGATGGGGGGGGGGGAAGGAATTAGGAATTAAATTTTAATCGCAAATTTGAATGATCGATCGTGTTATATATAATATCTTATCATTATTATTATTATTTTTTTTTTTATTATATATTAAAGCGTTTAAACGTATTATACGAGCGATGAAATCTGCTTCCGAGTGAGTTATTGAGGATCGAGCGAATGTTTATGCTGCTGGGATACCAGTTACATTCGCGTGATAAATGATTGAACGCAGCATTTGGATCTCCTGGAACGATTGATCGATTCTTCTTAACCCTTTAAAGAGTTAAGACAGAGCGTTAAGTGAGAGGGTTTAAAAAAGAAAGAGAAGTGGATTTATAAGTTTTGCGATTTTAAAAAATTAATATCAGCGTGGATGAACGATGTATGGAAAAACGATACATAAAAGATACATTGTTCGAAGAATCGCGATCCCAATTTTTTTGGGACCTCGATAAAATTCAACTTGGAAGAAGAAGAAGAATTTTGATCTATTTACTTTCCAAAAATAACGTTCGTTAAATCATTATCAATGAATGGCGGAATGGAAACGCGGATAGTTTCTCTTGTTGTAGCACAAAGACCATGATGTTCCCTACCTTTCGAAGATTTACGGTACGAAGGTGGAAACAGGTACCGTGATAAAACGGATAAAAAGGCATCGCTCGTGATGTAGTCCGTTCGTTGGTTGGACTCGAAACGAGCAAATTGTAGAGTCAAAGATAAATCTCGGCAAGATTTCACACCCTCCGGCACGCCCGCTACGTGTATATAAAATCTCTCGGCCAAATGCTTTCCCCTCTCTGCCGTGAAACGAAACCATATTCTCGAAAAGGAGAGAAAAAGAAAATGAGGGAGAAATAAATATTTTATGGCGAAACAGGTGCGATTACGTTTGAATCGCCGCGATATCGTATCGAACGAATCGTTTATCAAAATCGATGATATATCGATTATCGAAGAATGGAAAAGTAAGGTGACGTAATTTATACGCGCGCCGGCAACAATGTGCGCGATCCCTCTTATATCATCGGGCGTCCATTTAATGCCTCTTTAAATCAAGATTCCACTGCAACTGCAACGGTAGAAAGGAGAATGATTTTATAATACGATCATTTGTGTACGACCCATTCCTGCCAAGGGAATCGTGGTGGGTGTGTGCCCGCCACCACGATCGGGAACAATATGACATTATATGGTAAATGAGCGGGGCCATTGTCGCGAATGAACGTGAATCACGCGTGTAATAATTCGCTTTTAAAACTCTGGTCGTCGAAAAGTTTTGCCATTCGATCAACGGTTAAAACACGTGGAAAGTTGGATCGATATATTTTCCGAAGGATAAAGATAGGAGGATAATATATACGATTACGAAAGTATCGTATCGAGTTTTTTCCCTTAAACATTATTAACTTAAATTATAATCCAGGAAAACGCGCGTGGATCGATCTCGAATTTCAGCTGGCTCTCTAACCACATTCGCGTGTCTTCATTTACCGCGTTATACGCAAGAGCGGTCACCCATAGATCCGTATAGGTTGTCCTCACGAGGCGCGCTCCATCTAATCCGATCCGTGAAAAAATATAATATAAATCGGAGTGAATTTGTCACCGAGGCAGCGATCTGTTTACGTAATCTCAATACACGCGAATACAAAGCCTTTACGATTTTCGTAGGATAAGATTCGAAAGTATTCGAAAAAGTAAGTTTAAGATAGAAGACAGATGATACTCGTGTTAAATATAGCCACGAACAGAATGAGTTTTTTAATAAATTTGCAAAGGATTAAAAAGTTTGTAAAAAGTTTGGATTACGATTATCATCAATATCATGATCGATATGATCAATATCATCATTATCGTCATCATCGTGATTATTGTTATTATAGCGGATGGACCGAGGAACTATCAAAAAGTTGATGAAGGTATCCATGCGGTAAACCGCAGGGTACCGTGCACTCCTCATTAGCAACCTATATCAGTAG